TGCCTCTCCACTTTGGCCTTCAGTTGGTATTTCAAGTGTGTGAATTTTATTTAGATGAAGTCATATGTATTCATATTTCGGTTGGACTGACGACCAATGTCATTATGTATATGAGTAACGGTAATTTTAATATAGAAACAATTTGACTTTTGTCATAGAGTTAACTTCAAAATTAGATTATTTATTTTATTTCCTTTAAAGGATCTTTTAGTAAGTGTTAGTTAGGAAACTTGATCAAAAAGAGATCTGATAGAAGTATTACTGTCGAAGCTTGATTTTTTAGAATCACATGTGGGTATATTTGTTGTGAGAAGTCAAGACTCCAAAGTTGAGCTTTCGTAAGACAAGAACTTCAAAACAGCATCGCTTTGACAGCGACTTGGAGTACAATATTTTGGAACAAGAAGATCATCTTTGGGAACTTTTTTAAGTTTCTCAAGCTTGTACATTTGTTAAAAAAATGTACCGTGTAGAAAGACAGACATTTTGCTCGAGAAGTAATGTAAAGCTCGAAAAGTTAAACAACAGATCGAAGTAGTAGTGCTCTTGGAACCAAAACTGTTAGTTAACTGAACTTATTTTTTAGTTTCGAGGTATTCCAAAGACTGATGAAAGTAATGCTAGAAGATCTTGAAACTAAAATTGAGCATGATAGTTGAGAACTGGAGATGTTTACTAAAACTGAAATATTGTTAGAGAGATCTTCCTGGTCTTCAGAAGAAATCCATCTTCTTTAGGAGCTCAATGTGTCTGAGACGTTGAAGAACTGGCAGCTCCAAGTAAGTAATAAAAATAAATATTATTATTTTTTTAATAATGAGGGAGTAGTTGAGTTGTAAGAGACATATAAAGCTATTTGCAGAGGTCTGGGTACAAACACTTGCATTGTTGAGGATTAAAAATAGGCAGCCAAAGCCCTGAAAAGCTGTTAACTAGGAACTGCGTAGCAAATTGAACTAAGGTCACGTAAAGTATTACCTTTTTTTTCAAACGACAAAAAAGTACCTCAGCTTTTGAGCCTACTACATCGGACTGATATAGCCATATAGCAACCAAACTGGCAAACACAAGGTGCCAAATAAAGTACTTGTAGAGAAAACTTTTTTATTTGACAAGTTTTCTTCAAGAAAATTTGTCATAGAATATTATGCTAGACAATGCTACAATCTCCGAACATATTGTTGTGATCGAATCACTATAGCATATAGCTGCCATACAAACTGGTCGATCCAAATCAAATTCTTGTATGGAAAACTTTTTTATTTAACGAGATATCTTCACGAAATGTTTGTTGGCTAAGGCAACGCTATAATCTGCGAACAAACTATTCAGATCGTGCTACTATAGCTAATTGTTGCCATACAAACTGACGGCTTTAAATCGATAAATATATTTTAAATACTTTTATGCTATAAAAAATGCACCTGTGAAGGGTATTATAGCTTTCGTGCAACGGAAGCTAACGTTTTGTCTTGTTTAATACGAAAAACCCTCGCTAGAATGCTTTAAAATTCAAATCAAATACAACCAAAGCATTATGCATAGTATTTTCTTTTTTGCAATTTTATCACTATTTTCTTTCATTACTTTGCCTTTAAATTTGCTGCCACCGCCACAATGTTGCAATGCATGCGATAAATGCAACAACCGGATGGCAATGCAGACAGTAATTGTTGTTGTTGCTGCTGCTATTGTGCAAGCGCAAATTCCTAAAGTATATACATATATACATGCATATATGGGCGTGTGTCTGTCCGTATGTATGCATGTTTTAGTTTTCACTTACACAGAACTACTTAAAATGCATGCATGTGTATAGAAAAACACATAGTGATTTTTAGTGCATACTTTTAGGCGTGCCACCCTGTTGCTAATATTTTCTCCACCCAGCCAGCCACACACACACACACAGGCGCGCCTTCACATGCATTTGCAGTTATAGCTACAAGTATACAGTTGCCAGCAGACATGTATGTATGTGTACGTGGCTATGTATGTGTGTCGGGCTGTCGCATTTGTTGCGCTGCTGCTGAAATATTTAATTTTAAGCCTGTCATGAGTTATGCGCATCGCATGTTGACCCAGAATGTGACACATGTCACTTGCATAAATCTTCATAACAACCCTGCAGTTGCTTAATTAAAGTTTATACAGACACTCTAATGTACACACACACACAAACACACATGCACACTCATATATACCCATACATGCAAATCTGCGTTGAAATATATAAACTTTTACACATTGTAGGCTGACATGCCTACAAATACACACACATACATTCCAAGCATATTTTTTCACACCCGTTTCTGCTCGTGTATTCCCTTGCAACATTGTCTCCCACTAACGCCACAGTATCCTGTCAGTTGTACATCCGCACAACGCGGAGCAATCAACAGCATAAAACATATCTAACAGTAAACTGACAGTCGTTCATAGGCGACGACTAATGTCTGGCTATCGAATATTTGCCTAACGGTGCTTTAAAGCGCGCGAAAATAAATTTCCATGCGCATATATGTGTATGTGTATGTGTAGCGCTCCCAAAGCCATTTTTCACAAATGAAAATCAGGATGTACTTTATGTTGTTACGGCGCATTAAGGCTGCCGCGTCGCCGTGGCCGTGGCAAATCGCATATCTGGCGGCATCCTTGCTGCTTTAGTACCGTTACTGTTACATATTTTATTAGTTTGTGATGCAACGCCGCAGATCGCGCTTCTATGTGGCAGCAATGAGCGCTTATTCTGTGCGCGTGGCTGGCAATTCATATGAGCAAAGAATAGGGTTAGGCGAATGTATAGACTTTTTATAGTTTTATGCTTTTATTTCATTGCTGTAATGCAGGTTATATAAAGATATACAATTTATATAAGGAATAATATATATCGTAGTACTTGTCCGGTGATTGCTCAGTCGGGTTTGCTATCTCTCGAATGCCACGCGGCGGCAATTACTGACCACAAGTGCCGGCCGATAGCAGCGCTAGGATAGAGAGTATGCAAGATTAAGCGGCTTGAGCAGCAGTTTCAACTCTTATATAAAATAAGGACTCATAGACAGAGTTTTGAGTTTAGTAAGTTTAAGCTTACTATATGGTATCAGCGACTATACGAGAAAATCTTAGTTACACCGGCCATATCCATATCAGAATCAGTCTCATCCACCTTTTAATTTTGACGTAAGCTTGTGCTTTTATCGTTTTTTTTTGGATTTTTTGTAGCTTTTTGACTGGAAAAGGGTATGTTAAAGTCCTCAACCCATATCTACAAGTTACATTTTCATAAATTTCATATTTTTTCACTTCGTGTGGATCTATCTGCGCCTAAATGTAGGCAAGCAATTTTTAAATTTTGTGTAAACTAAAAAAATTTAACCTCAAATTTATGCATACTTTAACTGCAAGAACTTGCTAAAACTAAAATAATAATAGAGGGAACTCTAATTATAAGCTTAAAAAATTAGGTCAGCACTAGCAGTATTCAAATTTGTTTTCTTGCACAGAACTATTTATGAACTAGTGCAGAAGCCTTTAAAAATGGTACAAGTGAAAGAAATTCATAGTAGGAAAAAACTTTTGCAAACGAAAAATTAAATAACAAAAGTAAAAATAAAAGGAAAAATTATTTACGGCCGATCGGTCTGAAAGACGAAGGCTAGGGGCGCAGTTGAATTTCTGAGGATTAAAAACGGTTTATTTCAATTTCCGGTTAAGCTACGAGTCTTATAGAAAAAAATATCTACAACTTTGTATTAACACCTTTTGAACATAACACCAAAATTTATGTAAAAAATTCAAATTTGTTTTTGTTTTATTTTATCTTGTACACATTTTTTTTTTCTGAACGTTCCTTCTTATGTCAACACATTTATTTTTTTTAAATTTAAATTATTAAAGCGGAAACCTTATTTCGACTTAAAATCGAAAAAACCCCAATTTTCAATCGAAGACTTTAAAGAAGAATTTCAAAAAAAGAATTTAGGATTTTTTTAAAAGGTCAGTAAGCTTTGTATTTGTTGAAATCTCTACTTTCTGATGGTATAAAAAATAATTTCACATTTTAATTATTTTTTCAAGCAAAATCCATTTCTAAATTCATATTAATTTACTGTTGCCTACATTTTGGCGCTAGTGGCACGTTGAGATAATAATATATACATATTTATGAATATTTTTCTATTTTTTATTTTTTATTTTTATTTTTTATTTTTAAAATCTGAAAATATGTTAACTTAATTTTCGATATTTTCGATAAATGTTCTTTTCAGAATTCATATAAATTTTTTGTTGCCTACGCTTTGCCGCTGGAACCATTTCAAAGTAAAATATATGCTTATATAAAAATGTTTCCATTTTTATTTCATTTTTGAAAAGTTAGTCCTGTTAATTCAACAATCTCTCTGAATTCCAAGCACCTCCATGGCATATTAATAATTTTAATCATTTCAGCGCCCAACTAAAATCAATAATTTTTCATTATACATTTATGTGATGCCTTCTGAGCTGTTTAAATAACATTACACGTAGATAATTCAAAACTCTAGCACAAACATATATACATACATACATGAAGGGCTTAATATTCCCCGCATACTTGCGCCCATCACCAACGAAAACTATTGCTCCACGGCGCAAAGCAACACTGTGTTGCAAGCATGTTGCTGTTCACTAAAGTACATATATTTGGCACTTTGCCAAATTTTCAACAACGCACACACACACACATAGGCACATGCATATTGCGCGGTAGTGCTTCCATGGGTGTCGCTGTGTCGGTTGACTGCGCTGTCTATCTCTGCATTTGGCGTGCAGATTTTCCGAATTTACTGCATTCGCCCATTTCGGGGTTTTTATTGATTTTATGGCCAACAAGAGTAAAATTAAAAATTCCCTTTACTCAACGCACTCCTTTGCCTTTGCACGAACCGCATAACTATCTACGTCGCACTCTCACTCACTCTTACTAACTCTCTCTTTCTCTTTCCGTGCATTTACAGGTTTCGGCCATGAAGCTTCGCCCATGCACTATACAGCGTACCTGCCACGAATGGAAAATGGTGAAGTTACTGTAATTACAAATGCCGTTGCGGCAGCGGCGGCTGCTGCAGCTGCTGCTGCTGGCGCCACTGGACATCACAGCCTACCAACGCTACCGCACGCGCATCCCTATTCGTCATTTGTGCACACGCCGCCGCCTTCGACCGCCTCCTCGCCTTCAGCATCGCCAACAAGTCACAGCAGCGCGATGACAGCGTCCAGCAGTCAAAACCACAACAACAACAGCAGCAGCAGCATTAGCAGTAGCAGTAGTCACAGCAGTGAACGCCTTAGTCCGCCCATGATACGCATCAAAACCGAAGCGCCAAGCGATGAGCATATACAAAAACATCACCACAACAACAACAACAAAGTAACTAGCGAGTCCAGCGTATTGCGCAATAAATCGTTGGCAATGTGTTTCACCAGCACTGGTGCTGCGTTGTCGCTGCCACCCAAAAAGAAAGACATCTACCGTCCATATTCGCTGGACGACAGGCCGAGCGTCGAGCGTTTACGTACGCCTTACGAGAGTTTGCGCATACCAGCGGAAGAGGATCTGCATGCCGCACACGCCATACTCGATTTGAGTGCTTCCACAGCCTTCCATCCGCCAATACAGCCACACCAACTACAACAGTCGCAACAAGCGCAACCGCTGCAACTGCAACAAACAGCGGCGCCGCCACCAGCGTCACACCAACAGTTGCATCACCACCAGCAACATCCGTTGCATCAAATCACGCACGCCATACAATTGCAACAGCAGCAGGAGACAGCTACCACCGTAGCAGCGAGCTTGCAACACACGGGCGCATCTATAGCGGATTTGGCGGCCGCTGCTTGCGTGGCCAACGAACAGCGCCCGCGTAGCACTGCTTCGTTGCATAGTGTTTTTAGCGCTAGCGATAGCGATCGACAGCCGAGTTCGCCGGCCAGCAGTGTGCAGAATGAGAACAGTAATACCACAAATCAACTAACGGCGCTGCAGTCGCCAACATCGGCGAATGGCGCCAACAAAACCGTCGCCTACACCTACGAAGCCTTCTTTGTTAGCGACGGCCGTTCGAAGCGTAAACATGTGGTTGACGCGGCGGCTGTGGTACAACAAGATCAGCAGCGCGCCAAGTACACATGCACCGAATGTGGCAAGCAGTATGCCACATCGAGTAATCTCTCGCGTCACAAGCAGACACATCGCTCGCTTGACTCGCAATCGGCCAAAAAGTGTCACACCTGCGGCAAGGCGTACGTTTCCATGCCCGCCCTAGCCATGCACTTGCTCACGCACAAACTCTCGCACAGTTGCGATGTCTGCGGCAAGCTCTTCTCGCGTCCCTGGCTACTGCAGGGTCATCTACGCTCGCACACCGGTGAAAAGCCCTATGGCTGCGCGCACTGTGGCAAAGCCTTTGCGGATCGTTCCAATTTGCGTGCACACATGCAAACGCATTCGATCGATAAGAATTTCGAGTGTAAACGCTGTCACAAGACATTCGCGCTCAAGTCGTACCTCAACAAGCATCTCGAGTCGGCATGCCTCAAGGACGAGGCGGACATGCAATTCGATAGTGACTTGAGCAATGATATGGTCTCACCATCGCCATCCGTCGAAGACTATCCGCTAACGCCGACAGCACAACAGCAACAACAACTACAGCAGCAACAGCGTCGCTACATCTGCTCGTCGCCAACGCCGTCGGCAGTAAAGATTGGCAGCATCAGCGCGCTAACGATACCAATGCCCGCGACGTCGGCGACGGTGGCGACATTGGCCGTCGGCGCTATGGTGAAGGTGGAGGCGCCTTTCGTTGGCTAAAATCAACATGCACTTGCTAGCTAGCAGCATGCAGCGGAGTGTTTGGCTGAGCAAACAGTCGGCAGAGTAAGCAGCGTTAAGTGGCCCTTTGGTGCAATTGTAAGTAATATTTAAGCGCAAGCAGGTAGTTAACGAGTGGAGAACTTTTAACATAGTTGAAGTGCAAAAGTTACGGTTTTGTTGCAAGCATACCAATGCACACACTACATACACGCATATTTTGTGTATGTGTGTGTGTGTGCGTGACTTATTGACGCGTGAACAACGCTTTGTTGCTTAAACCCCAGTGTATATTAACCCTTAAGTGGGGCAGAAATTACCAGTGACAGTATGATTAATATTAAAATTATTTATTTTTGTCGAAAAAAAAAAATAAAATATTTTGTGAGAAATTTCAGTATTTAATATTTGATATTAATACAAATATTTTTCTAATTGAAAAAATTACAAAAAAAGTGTTTTATATTCAGTTCTAAGATTTCAAATAAATCTTTTTTATTTTTATGAAAATAATAATTTTTTATTAGAAAAAAAATTAACTTATATAAAAAAACGCAGAAATAATTAATTTACTTAAAAATTAAATTAATTTAATTATTTGGATACAAAAATTTAAGTCTTTGTTATTTGAATTAAAAGTTAAAAATATATAAACTGGCTTAAATTAAAAATTGAATAAAATTTAATTGAGTAATTTAAAAAATTAAGAAAAAAAATTAACTAAAAAAAGGAAATTAATATAAAAATATATATATCTAAAGTAAATTAAAAAAGTGTATATTTTTAAATTAAATTAAAAATATTTAATTAATTATTAATTTATAAAAATTTTAAATTTTTCTACAAAATTAATTTATTTGAAATTTCAACTTTTAACCAAGTTAAAATAAATATTAACTTATTTTAAATAATTAATTTTTTTTTCAATCATTTCATTTATGTTTAGTGTATATTTGTACAATTGAACACACGCTGAACACACGAAACATCACAAAAACGTCCACAAGTATATAAGAATACTCGATAAATGCATATAAATACGAAATTATATACAAAGTTATTAGGTTAGTATTAGGAGAAGAAGAAGCATAAGAAGAAGATTAGGTGTCATAAGCACAATATATACCGTTAGAACAGTATTAAGCTAGTCTTTAGCTAAAAGTAATTTAACGAGTAATTTATTTATTTATATATTAGGTATGAAACCTTCACAACAACAACAACCACTATTAAAAAATATATTTAAGAGAACACAACAGCAAGCAGCGCTAAAACTCCAAAAAAAAAATAACACAAAATGCCAACAACACACGCCAGCATACATACATATGTACATATAAATTTACATACATACATTACACATGCGCATACAAAAAAATATACACAAACAAGCAGCAAAAGCAAAATTTTTTATTAAATACATATTTTAAAAAATAATTTTTTTAGTAATGAAAATAATGTTTAAATGGCAAATTAATTTAAAAAAAGTAATGTTTGCAATTATTTTCGAAAAGATTGTGTTTTTAATAATACAAATAAGTTTAACAAATTTCTATTGTTTAAAAAAAATTTCAAAAGTTTACAAAATTAATTCAAATAAATAAAAAAATATATTTTTGCTTAGAAACATCGAAATTAAAATTATTAACAAAAAAAAAATCATTACTAAATTTTAAATAATTTAGAAAGTTCAAAGTTTTTCTTTGCTTAGAAACATTGATAAGAAATTCAATTATTGATAATTAATTAAAAACTCAAAGAAAAAAGTTTTAAATTTTTACATTTTCGAAAATAAATATTTTTTTTATTTTAAATTTTAATGTTAAAAAGTAGTAATAATATAATTTTGCAATGCTCAAACACACACATACAAACAGCCATAACAAATTTCAAGTAAGAAACATCAACTAAGTCACTCACAAGCACGAAACTCCCAGTACTCACAACAACAAAAAAAAAAAAATAAACTTCTCACAAAGCACTTACATACATATGTACTAATAAGTAAAAACGCAAACGTGATTTACAAAAGCAACGAATAACCAACAATTTGCCATTAAACCAAGAGCAACGTTTCGCAAACAACGAATTAGGCCATAAGAAAAGAAAGAAGATGCATAGGAGAAGAAACTTTTTTACAATTCTAAGCAACTAAAGCAATTTGAAATTTTAATAGTCATTAATAAATATTTATTAATATACATACATACATACATAATTACGTAGTATACAGCACCGCAATGCAATAATCAACTACAAAAACAACAAAAGCAATAAAGAAGCAACGAAATTTTTAACCGAAAACCGAAATTAAAACGCAAAGCAGCAAGGGAGAAGTTTTTTCCATTAAATTATTAACATCAATACCGTTAAGTGCTTGTTTGTATGCGTGTTTTTGTGTATATGTGTGTGTGTGTATAAGGGATGCGAGAGAATGTTAATTTAAATTAGCATTATCATTATAGGCAAGTGTTATTAGCAAGTGAACGTGCAAACATATTTATGGACCTATGTGCTTGGCACGGGACTTACGTAATTACGTGCGTACTTAAGTAGAAATGTTTTTTTGTAATTCCTGCGTAGTTATGTGTTACATATTTACAAATTTGAGTACATTGGTTTTACTTATGTACTTAGGTGCTTACGTACTTATTCAGTTACATACTTAAGTGCCTACGTTCTTATATATGTAAATTGAAATTCTTATATTTCTTTAATCACTGTTTACAGACTCGTGAAATTTGAAACATATACAAAAAATTTAAAACTTCCCTAATAATTTACTTAAACACTGAAAATGCTACTAAGACCCATATGGTGGACCAAATAATAGCGTACTTGATTAGTTTACCAGTGCAAACTAGGATTTTCCTATATCAAAAATATTAAAAATTCAATTGGTGCAAAAGTAACTAGTTTCGTAACTAGTTAGTAATTATGTAAAACTAGTTTAGGGTAAAAAATTAACCAATTTCAAGAATGTATAAAGTTAATTGGGTTGCTTTGGTTCAGAGCAACTAGTTACATAACTACTTCAAAACGGTACAAAGCAGGATTTGTGACCAAATGAGATATAATACTGTGTATAAATATATTTGCCTATAAAATTTATTTAAAAATCTTTGAACTACTTTCGTGTAGCGAGTTCGTAGTTTCTAGTTAACTACTTTCAATACTATTTACAATACCTGTATGCATTAAAGCAATTGATCATTTAATTTGTCTAAATGGTTAACATAACATAAGCTGCTTAATGTTTATATCTAAAATTTCAACTTCCAACAATAATTTTAAACTACTCTCCAATAGCAAACTGGTTACAATAAAACTACATTCATCACTAGTTACACTGTATGACTCTGATATAGTGCATAATTATTTTTGCTTCTAAATTTCTTTTTGAAATTTTTTAAACTATTTTCTACAATACAAATGTTACAATGTTACTTTCAAGCTTAGTTACAGTGTACGAACTTATGTTTTGAAAAATATCTAAATATCCACACGTAAACAACGAAATCGGTTTGTACTCGTATAGACGCATACCCATAATTACATAATTACACATACACCTACATACAACCCCTCTACAAACACACACACACCGAAACAAACGTGTCGCATCCTCGAAATGGCAGTTAACTTGCTCATAAAGCATATCTGTAACACGTTGCTAGCAATATTTTAGCTTTTTCAAATTACCATTACAAAATAACAACAACAACATTAAATAGCAAAAACAGCAACAAAACAAATTTTCAAAAAATACATTCAGCCATACGTGCAACAGACGTTTTTGCGCTATTAATTCGCCAGCGTATAAGTAATAAAAATACGTGCCACCACCACCCCCCTCCAACGACACTCCACTCAAAAACAAAAAAAAAAAAACGGAAAAAATACCATAGGGAGTAGCTGCTGGCAAGTGTATGCTATCAACGCTACTCTTTTAATGTCGAAACAGATTTACTTAATTGGCAGCACAGTGTCTAATTTGCATTTGCGAGCGTGACAAGGCGAGCAGAGGCGTGGCGCGGTTGCTTAGTTCGTTGGACGTAACCGACGAACGGACTGACGGAGTACAGTGGTTTGCTGGGCTTAGAATTTGAATTGTGGAAATTTGTGAGTTATTTATGTGCATGTGTGTGTGTGTATGTGTAAATGTGTGTGTATTTGTACTATAATTTACTGCGTTGCCATTAAGCGCACTCACGCATACCTACATACGTTAATATATGCATGTGTGTGTGTTAGTGGCGTTTGCATGGGTATTGGTTTCACGCCTTCAACGCGATGCGCCTTACTTTATGCAAAATAACACAGCAACTCGTAAATTTTTTGTTAATTAAATAATTTACATGCTTTCTCCGCCAAACATTCGCTTTACTTTCTCTGCTTTTCGGAGTTTTTTGTAATTTTTTTGTTTTGGGATTTTTTTTTTGGAATTTTTCTTTCGAATTATTTATGGTGTACGGCAAAATTGTGTGTCGGTGTGCATATAGTAAATGTATGTGTGTTCTTTCGTATGCATGTGTATAAGTATGTTTGTATGTATTTGTGTATATTTAATGACAATATAAATGCGCAGTTGTGTTTGTTGTTGCTGTTGCCTATATATTATATAATATCTTACAAGTAGTTCAGTTCTGGATTTTTATCGTTTAATAGTCAGTCAGGGCTTTGAAACATAATCTAGTCAATTACCAAAATGTAGGCATTAGTTTTAAAGCAGAGTTACCAGATATATGAAATAAGTTTTCAGCACTTCGGCACAGATTTAGTTTAGAAATTAATTATTCTTTAGTTAAAAAAAAACTAAGTTTATTAGTGTAACTTCTAGTCGCTGTTTAACAGCATTTAACAACAACTATCTCTATCTCTGTTACCCTCTCTCTTTCTCACACTCTTTTGCTATTCTTTTCACTATTATATTTGAAAAGAGTGTGTGTACTCAAAAAAATCGTATGTACTTGTATATCTATAATTTTAAAAAATACTTGAGTTTGTCCCTCAATTGTCAATTTGAAGCTACAAAACCTAAAAAAAAAATTAAAATTAAATAAATTAAATTATAAAAAAAAAATTAAATAAAAAATAATAATAAATGTAAAAAAGTAAATTATACCGCCTAATTAACCTAACCAGTGTTGCATCACTTAGCTTATAGAGTTTGTGCAAGAGAAACAGTAAAAATTGTAAATTAAGCACATAACTGTTATATAACGGTATTGTACATATACACGTATGTGCTGTACCGTTTTAAAAATTCAACATTTGCTCTCACTACCGTTTCCTAAACTATTTCATTTCCGCTCGTAATTGACTATTTAACAAGTAAATTATACAGTGCGCATTAGGGGTGTCCCATTTTTAGATGTTTTTAAATTAAAACATTTTCTAAAAATCAAAATACAAAATGGTTGGACACAAATTGATATAAAAATTGTGTAAAAGGTATATAAAACAATTTTTGAGCAGCAAAATATTTAACTAAAATAAAAAAAATTTAAAACTCACATAAAGACAGCAACAACTATAATTTTTTACCAGATTTTAAAACTATAAACGAAAAGTATGTATTCTTAAACTTTTTATTAATAATATAAGAATTAAAAAAAATTAACGAATAAAAATGTTTAACTTTACAATTTCAAAAATTTCAATTTTTCTGCAACAAAAGAATATCCACATATTTTTTAGTTAAAATTGTCAAATTAAATTAAACAAAATTAATTTTTTCCAAACA